ATGAACAACCCTGAACTCTACACTCTATGCATCTAGACTCTATACATCCTAAGCGCAAGTAAAGCTACCTACATTGAGGATCGAGTTTTGCGTTTATGGCTTCAGCTATTCTTGTCTTGAACCCAAGGTTTCTCAGTCTAAGCTCATTCTTCTGCACACCCAACACAGGGGCCTCAATTACTTAGAATAGGGTTTGGGGGGAATATCATAGAGTCACAAGGAACCCCCAGGTGTCATTCTCCACTGGGCAGGAGAATCCTCAGAACCCTCTGCCGTGAAGTATGGCTTGACGGCAGCAGCGGGGCACGAAGTCTTTGAAGGCCTGTATAGTTGATAAGCGCGGACGACGAGGCTTGGCCAGAGTTTTTGGTGTAACTGTTTGGGTAGTCATTGCAGACAGGAGCCGTAATTAAGATTCCACGAGACTGATTATTCCAGTGTGCCTGTCAATTCAAGTCCTTTTTCGGTACACCCTTGACCACGAGTGTGGTAAGTGACATCCATGGCTTAAACACCGCTCCTGGCTCAGGGACAGCTCCGGCAGGAACGCAAACCTGACCACAAGAGTGCTGATCCCGTGTCTTGAGGTTGTGGGCAGCCTTAGGAAAAGTTTACCCAGATCAGTGCTTCGGACCTCGGACCTGCAATTTTTTCCCTCCTACCTAGTCAGGACGAAGCCCGCATTGCAGGGTAACTCCGAAGCAACAGCTGAAAGCGGCTTCACATGTGGAGGCCAATTTGAAGGTTGACTAGATTCAATCATCCACCAATGATAGAAAAGGGAATCCCACCCCTATTTATTAGGGTTTTGGGTTATTCTGACACGATGTAGACGCAGGGTTTAGGGGTTTAGGGTCCGTAGCCATAGGCGTAGTCTGGTTAGTGTCATGGCTTATTTTGGGGGATGCGCTCGAAGCTATCACAACTTCGCTTCACCTTGCCTGTCCTAAGTACAACCCCAAAAGGCAAAATGGGCTGGCATCGATGACCTCATGCTGGGGTACCTTCCGCCTCGCTCCGAACCCTCCGAAACATGGGCGCCCTAATTACACTCCTGACCCCTCGAAATCAGCACAATCCCCATGACCGGCCACTACATGCTCCCTATAGTATACAGCATCCTATAAGCTCATCCGTCCTTGGTGCGTCACCCGTGTCGGCCTGGCCGAAGGCGCGCTTGACATGCTTCATCAGGCGAGCCGGGGCATAGATTCTTGCAGGGTGGAGAGCTTTACTTGGACCGCTTGAATTAAATATTTAAGTGAGGCTGATGGCGGAGCTCTCGGACTGTGATAGTTTACGGCCTAGGCTGTAGCTCAGCTTTATGTTAAGTTGGCAGGTTTATGGTTGGCATGCGGCGTCTTCGCCCCAGCACTTGGACGCTCCCTGCCCGTGGCCGATCAACGTATAGATGCAACATAAGTAGGTGTCGGAAGCTGTATTGCATGAAAACTTGGAGCTCGAAAACTCATGGCATTGACCCAAGGCTCCACCGCAAACCATGGGGTTCTGGGGTCAAGGAGGTGTGGCTGCGAACTCCCGCGTTAGGAGGTCGGACAAGGATCCTGGTGGGCCGACAATGAGTTTTGCATGGGTTGAAACCCTAAACCTTAAACCCATAAGCCCGAAACCCCTAAACCCTATAGCCCTAAACTCTAAGGATTTCGCAGGGGGCGATGTCGAAACCGCTACAGCGCTTTCCATAGGACACTTGGAAACACGTTCAAACATCTTCATGGTTCAAGGTGCCATTGGCCAATGTGGAGTTCCGCAAATCATAATAGTTCCTGACGTAGAATCCCTACATTCTACTATATATATATATATATATATATCTATGTGTACAACAATACCTGCATACATAATCATACATAGGTACTTAGGGGCGTTTGGGCCAGAAGCAGGTTCGAAGTGGCGCATGAAGCCGTCCAGGGGCCTTCCCTGGCGTGGGTGGCGCCTGGCAACAAAAACGGTGACGTCTGCACTCGAGGAGTTCTCTTAAACTGGAAGTGCGGAAGTGAGAATGCAAATCAAACAGCTCTGAGAAGCAATAGCAGAGGAAGGTTTCATGGGAGTGGAACACCCGGCAAGGCATGTAGCGCGATGAGACTCTGAATGCTCATGATGCATGTTGATGCCAGCACGACATTGTGTCAGACCATGCAGACATTCTGGCCCTTCCTCGCCTCCGGACTAGGCATTGCAGCATCCGCAGCCTGTGATGAATCAATTCAGTCATACCAGCAGCGGCTACAAACGCCGGCACCCCGGCGATTCATACAAGCAGACAGGAAGACTCGGCCATAAAACTAATTCTCCAGTCGACCGAAAGTGTCTGAGGTCAAAGCAGGATCAGCGGTTTCTTTGCCTGACATGTCGGGCCAGTATATCCTCAACCTACGTCAGCTGTTCATGCTTCACAGGAAATCACAGGAACACCAGAGGAAGCTGCTTCAGCCCACGGACTTTCTGCTGCCCCTCCACTCACCAAAAATGGAGGAACGTGCAGGAACGGAACCATCCTTTCCAAACTGGCCGGCTTGGCCCAGGTCTTCGAAGGAAAGGAAGACCTTGATCACAGCAACAACAGAAAAGCTGCCGACAGCTGTGCTCGGGTCTATGTTTCAAAAAACTACACAGCCGGATGCGGCTAAACTGCAGTGCGGCAACTCGAAGCGGTCTGCATCATGCAGACCATGTCTAGCTGCCCATGCAGTCCTCCCACCCGATTACCCAAGGAAAAAAAATCTTACACACTGCGTGCACAACGAAGAACGCCGAAGCCTGGACCACACGAACCGGTGCTGCAGATTTGTTGCCGCGGCTTCTTTTCACATTTTCATAGGGCTCTACAGTGTTAATGTTCTGTATCAAACGCTCTCTCACTGTATATACATACATGCGCATAACTATGTATCTGCCTGTCATTTGTAGGATATTGCCCGTCTCTACTGCTGTCGTTTCTCAGATTTCGTATCCCATAGGCCCCCATGGAGCCAAGGAACACCAGAAGCTGCTCCACCCGGCGCCGGATCGCCTTGGGGCCATCGACGAGTACACCAAAGTTCCCATGGGGTCTATCTAGAATTTGGGTTTGACGGGGTTTTTTGACTGTGCCTTTACTGAGTTTTGCCATGTTTGCTTGCGGTCTACGGGTCTACTGTATGGGGCTCGGCTCTGATCTCTGTTTCTCCTGATCAGTGCGGGGGATTCAACATCAGGTGTCTTTCGACTGAGGGGGTCTTCCGTGCAGTATTACGTTTCTAAGCAGTTAATGTGAGGGTTCCCTTATACACAGAGACTGCATTGGCACTTCTTGGGGCAACCACGTAAAGTTCACACGTGTTGTTTCGGCCTTGTTTCTCTTATTGACTTATGGTGGTCCAGATATCCCCATAACTTACAAGAGCAACAGCAACTGGCATTGCTGAACCACACTATCGCTTGCTGTGCCACTACCACATGCTCCGAGCCGCAGCTGGCCACACAAGAAGTTGAACTGCACACAGCTGACGATCCGAGGTGTCCGCGGAGGAAATCGCGCTCCCCCAGGGCTTCCTGGAAGCTATAAACTCTCGACTATTTCTCTCGCAAGAACTTTCCTGAACCGAAAAGTATTTAGCCACGGAGTGTCGACCTAGATTGGTGGCGGAGGTGACTCTTTGTTCCATGGTCTAAACTTAAATGGCTTGGGCGCCGTTCCTGTCAGGAAGGAATGCAGGGTCAAATTCAAACAGACTGATAATATACTGCTCACCCAGGCCCTCATGCCTCATGCCGCACAGTCGGGATGTAATCCGTTTGGTGAAAGCCGCAAGCATGAAGACGACTGCTACATTTATCAAGGTTTCTGTTTCTCATAGCAGGCCGCACCTCGGCTGCACCATCCTCAGCGATGTCAATCCACACGTCGCCCAGAAGTCGGGCCTTCTGACAGCATAATGCACTCGTCTGGTGGCTCTGAGCCAAATTACCCCGGAAGACCTCCTGTGTTGTATCCATGGAACCGTCTTGAGGTGTCAGGGCGGACGTGATCTACATCAGCCACTCTCGAAAGAACAACGAACCAGCACAGCGCCTTCTTGCCATCGGCCGACACATCCTGTGCACTGAGACACTGTCTCAAACCCTGCATCGTACTGTGCCACGCGCGCAGCAAAGCAGCTCAGCAGGATTGAACAAATAATGGCTTCTATTGAGGAGTCTGAGTGGTTGCAGCCCCCACAGCAAGTTTACAGACGAGCAATGTGTGGGACCAACCCCACAAAAAAGGCCGCTTCCACCACTAGGTCGCCACAACTGCACGGCATGTAGAGATGTGCATGCTTGTATACAGGTACAATAGTTACATTAACATATATATGCAAATACACATACACATGCATGCATGAATGAAGACATACATACATACATGCATAATCCAACATAACCATACATACGACAACTGTAGAAGCTGAGATGAAGAGCATCTTAGAAGCGCTCCTTGGACGGCTTGGAGGCGTCCTCCTTCGCTGCTTCGACCGCGTTGGTAGCACGCGAGCCCGTGGAGCCACCAGCTTTGCCCTGTCACGACGCACTTTTGCTCTCTCTCTCTCTCTCTCTCTCTCTCTCTCTCTCTCTCTCTCTCTCTCTCTCTCTCTCTCTCTCATTCATATATATATATATATATACATATATATGTATATATGTGTATATATATATATATACACATATAATGTGGGTCAATATATATATTATGTGTACATATATATATATATATATAGTTATTGCAGAATATACATATGAGTTTGGGGGAATTCGGGTTGCGGGTTCGGAGTATCTAGGGTTGGGGTTCAGGGCTTGGGAGAGCTAGGGTCTATAGGGATCGGGGAGCTAGGGCTTAGGATCCATACAGTAGGTAAACTACACAGTTCAGGGTCAGGGTTTCATTTGGGGCAACAGTCCAACATGTGCAAGGCACGCTCAGATGCAGGACGGCTGGTCCAAGTCAAGTGTTCTAGGGCAAATGCTGCGTAACACATCGAGTTCGTGGAGTATACGACCTTGGTGAGGCCATGCTAAAATCGCTGAGCCCGAAACTTGTCCGAAACCTCAGAATGTGAAAAAAGCCTCAGCGCTAGAACTTCCCATTGACCTGTCCAAAGGTACCGTTTCTACCGTTGCCTTGGCATCGGATGAGGAGGAAGGGGTCTCCTTCCGCGGTTTTAGGGAGCTCGCAGACAAAATGGACAGTCAACACGTCTTTAAAGCTCAAGGAGAGTACTGTAAGCTCTTTGTCTGCAGTGTACCAGCTCAACTCTCCGAGCGCGTGGGCTGAAACATAGGCTCTCTGCAGCAGCGGCGGCAGCACGTGAATAGGGAAGCGGAAGGAATGCAAGTACTGCCGCGCGTCCTCGACATCGAAGGGACATCTACCTCCTCCAACAGAGCCTTGGCACCAGCTGGTGCAGCGGTTTGCACTGTGAGGGCTGCGCTATCTGTCTGCGTGTCTGTCTGTTTGTCTGTCTCTGTGTGTGTGTGTCCGTCTGTATGTGTGTGTTCTTTGTGTCTGTGTGTCTGTGTGGGTGTGTGTGGGAATGTGGGTGTGTGGGTGTGGGTGTGGGTGTGGGTGTGGGTGTGGGTGGGGGTGTTAGTTGGCAGCGTATCTCGGCAAACTCCTGCCCAACACATAATTTCAAAATCATGTCCGAAAGCTTGCACCCTCAAGCTTCAACTCACGGACTCGAAGCCCGGAACCTCGCAACCCAAACGGGCAAAGGTCTAAGACGGCGGCCGAGCAAGAGGCCTCACATGTTCTGGCATCTCACGCAGCCACTGCACCAAGCAGACTAGATTGGCTGAGCCATTCTTTCATGCTTCTGCCCCCGCCTCAATCTCAACAAACTAGTCATCTCACCCGTGTGAATGCAGGAGCAATCGAGAAGCAGGATAGACTCGGCACTGCATCGTGTCTTGACTGATAAGTGACCCTGAACCCAAAGCCCCCCCAAGAAGCCGTGAACAATCATACTAACATATCTGGCGCCCATTGAGGCCCACGAGCCTAGAGCTCGAGTGGTCTCAGCGTCCTCCTTGATGTAGATGCGTCCTTGGTAGGCCACGAGATGAAGCTCAAGTTGCGCTTACAATATGCGGACTTCAATGTTCCTAAATTCTTAAACCCTAGACCCTCTTCTGAGCAGGGACTGCAATGCACTAAGCCCTGAAACCCGAATTAGAAACCCTATATAGGCCCTATATGCCTATATTACGAATCCCGGAACTTCAAGCTGTAGCTCTTTGTAGTATTATGGTATCATAGTATTATAGCACTATGGCTTTGTACGAGTATGGTATTATATAGTACTATAGTATTATGGTGCTATGGTATTATCGTATTATAGTATTACAGTATTATAGTTGGCTGTGGAAGGATCCTCCGGGTCCCAGGCGGCCGCGAGGTCTGGCTCCGGGCCTTTCTTTCGCGTTACGCGGGGGAACAGGGCGCAGCTTTTCTTTGCGAAGTCGGCCAGGATCGTACCCTACGGCTCCGTCGTAGTTCCTTTTTTTGGGGTTCATCTTTGGAACCCTATAAGGTAATCCCAAAAAAGGAACTACAATGGAGCCTCTGGGTAAGGCTACTGGAGGGGAGGTGGATTTCTTGCATGTTGGGGGGGGGGGGAAAGTAGCGATTGGACCTAAAATGCAGAGTAAGGGCATCATTGCGGTGCTCGGTCGTCATAAGGTTTTCGTCAATCGTTTCGACCGGGTACAAGTCGGTGAATTGGGTAGTTGTTCGTCATACTGGTCTTTCAACAATTCCGGTACCAATCACACAAGCAGCATGAGGAGCAACTGAGGTTAGGGGAAGAGATCGCCAGCACAAAGACACGTGTAAAGAGGGGACAAGTCTGGTGTCCATCGATTGGTTCAACCGTTTTGGAACTGTAGCTAACACGTGTAAAGTCAGGTCTCAAAGAAGCTTGTGGAGCAACATCTAGGCCTCATCGGAGAACCTGCCTGCCTTCGTCTGCCTGAAACACCTGAGGGATGAGTAATCATGTCATCTTGAACTGAAAGATCCCGGGGGGCCGGCTTTGCGGAGTCTTTTCTGTCCTTTCCCTGCTCTTTGCCTGACAGGTTCAGCAGAGAGAGAAAGACCACCGAGGTCAATACCCGACAGGTATATCTCTGAATGTTGCTTCAAGGGCTCCCGTCGCTGTCGCTGTCGGTACCAGTGTGCCAACAAGCCCAACTATATCTATAGGGGGTGGCATATGTGCGCCTGCCGCATCGTCATCCACCTCGAACGCAGTAGACCTCTGCCGAGCTTTTGTCAATCGAATCTGGCACAGCAGCGCTTCTATGCTGACTGCTGCGCGTGCCATGCCACGAACTTACCCTCACCGGGAATACCAAGACGCAGCTAGTGCGATGTAGACTGTACGATGCAAGGTCTTCGCAAACTGGGACGATGCCCAAAAGCCTTGTCCATCCATCTGTCGGTATGTATGTGTGTAGTGTGTACCGATCCCTTTCACATAGCACCGAGTTCTACCGATAAGGCTCATCTGTGTTCTTCTGGTACAATGCTCCATGCTAGGACATCGCCTTCCGTCCGAAACTAATTTGCGACCGCCTGTCACGCATGGTCCATGCTTTGTATACGTGTTAACAACACATCTGCATATTACCCCGCACCCTTCCGCTCCTGAAGCCCACACGTCCTCCCCACCCAGTAGAATCCTGCGACATCTTGCAATTGGTGCCGCTTTGAGCGCCCAGCACGGCTTGCCGCAGGGTGTTGACCTCAGTGTGCAGCCAAGGATTCGCAGGAGTCGGAGCCAGATCCAAGTCCTAACATCAAAACAAGTCCAACCTCATGACATTCCACCTCCAAACACCGGAAACAAAGCGAAGTCGAATCAAACTCCCCAAGATCTACCGGAAACAATACAGAGTCGAAGCAAGATCCCGTAGGGTAACTATATACTTACGACCCATATTAGCGGTCTCATAACCCTACTTACAGCTACCCTTGAACCTCCAAGTAGGATCCGATTCTCGGCAAGCGGCGTGCTGCAGGTCGTCAAGGCTCAGCTTCTGCCGGCCGGTGATTGGCAACACCCATCGTGACTCCTTCTCGACCAAGGGTCTCTAGGTTTGAAAAGTCTATGAACTCGATATCCTAAACTGCTGAGGGTTCGAAAATACAACAAAAGCAGCCCTGTTCGAGTGAAGCACGCGAAGCAAGGTGCATGGTTGAGGCCTTGGGCACTTCATGGTTTCTGGATTTCGACGTAGGGGTCGCTCGGGAATGCCCGTGGGTAGGGCCAGAAAGTGGCTTCCCCACCGAAGCCGGAGCATCGGAAGACAGTCTGCATCAGTCTGTTTAGGAATCTGAGGCTTTAACCCACTGCATGTGCAGTGCCGTTGGGTACTTGACATGCAGCTTTGGACTCCTACACTAAACATAAGCTTTCGAACTCCGGTCGCTTTCGAAGCCCCTGTTCACTGACATCCCACACCCTGTCCACGGCTTGCGCTTACGGCTGTGGAACGTTTTCCGGTTACGGCTCAGGGTAATAAGTCTAGAGGGCTCAGGACGAAGCTGAGGCCATCATCAAGACTGCTTACCTTGGTGCCAGACTTCTGGAACGCATCGCCCCGGCGACACCGTCCAGGGGCCCCAAGACAGCGGTCCGGCAGTCAAACAGTAGAGTAAAGAGCCTTGTGTCGTCGTAATACGTAGTTTATATGAGCAAAAGCCAGCTCTTGAGCTTTCAAGTCCTCAGAGCGCCCGAAGAGAGAAATGGCCCGGACCTCTCCACATGACGGAATTTCGACACACACACACACACACTCGCACACGGCTGTCATAGCTTCAAGACGTCCGAGTTTGCTACTTGTACATCAGAGGGCAGATGACAGAAATTCCTTAGGGCGCCTAGTCTATACACTCTTCGGCATGATGTTGACCCGCATGAAACGGAGCCCAAGGCTTAGAACTTAGAGCTGGAGGAATCGTCAAGGGGTCAGGCTTCTCTGATCCTGCTTCTGCTCTTGCAGATGTCCGAGCTGTGAGAGTCTAACCATGAAAGTCAACCTCGGACTGGACAACGAAGCACTGCGCCTGCAGTGAATCCAGGTCGCAAAGTGCGGAGCAGCCTCCAGAGAAGATGCCGCCGCCTGAGGGTGGTGAGAACTTGCAGCCTTCTGGCAACACCTGTCACAACCAACACGAAAGAAAGAAACAAGTTGACACCATAGTAGCTAGCGAGTAATGAGTAATGGCATGCTCTATAGAGGGTTGAGAAGCAAAAATGAAAGCAGACATACAAATAAGGATAGAGAGAGAGAGAGAGAGAGAGAGAGCGAGAGAGAGAGAGAGAGAGAACGAACGATTCCAAAAAATGTAGCGCCTCAGAAGACGCCTATTGAGCTTATTGTGGCCACTGTCAACGATGGTAAGGAGTGTAGTCTTGTGTCAAACCACCCAGAGGCTCCATAATAGTTCCGCTTTGGGATGAACCCCGAAAAGCAACTACTACGGAGCCTACGGGTAGCAGCTTAATTTAGGGGCCGTAATGATTCGAATAGGGAAGAGGGTTTTGGGGCCCATTGCGCTCTATTTATAATAAGGAACCCCAAACAAAGGAATTCACCCCTTCGCTTTCCTCGTCCTCGGAAGTTCCCAGAAGCCGCAAGGCTCCCGAAGCACCCGTAAAACCCAGTATAGGGCCCTGAAAAAATTAGAATAGGGTTCCTTTAACGGGTTCCTTAAAGGGACCTATAAGAGGGTTCTATGATATAGGGGCCTTGATAATCAGAATAGGGTCTGCGGGTATATTATACTGAACACCCAGAATAGTAAAGGTATTTATTCAGGCCCCTATACTATAGAGTCTCTTTGTCCCTAACCCCTTTGAATCCCTTGAATCCGAACTCTCAACGCAGCTATCGGCCACGGGCTATGGCAGGGACATGTCCGGGGACGGAAGAAAGCCAGCAGCAGCAACACCTGAGCTCTCGCTCGTGAAGTCGCGGGCTGTGGTCAGGGTGGGAGAACCCCAAAACTGAATGCTTTACAGCCCACTATTGCTCCGATACACACAACTGCTGGACTCATGGGTTACGAGTGGAAAGTCTGTCGGAAGTGGATCTTGGTCTCCTTGTCTGGACAGATAAAAGCATGAGACTCATGTCACACCTCGTATATACCCCGTGCTCTCACGTCTGGGAAACCGAAAGGGCTTAAGACAGCGCGAACCAACACGCGTGGAGTGCCATGTGACCCTGTTTCATCCATGATCGTCTCGGCTGGTCACTCTCTTGACTTCAGGACTGGCATGGATAGCCCTCCCTCTTATCGCGTGTACTGGTGCCGACACTGCAAACCTTTCATGCCGGCCAGCAGTTTTTCAGCCTGTAGCACATACGGGCTCCTCGCGAAGAGATGCGCCGTGCTGATTCTCAGCGGAGCATTGCAAGCTGCCTAAAGTTTTGGCAGCCTGCAGTCAGGTGTCAACTGCGTGCTGCTCTTAGTCAAGGCACATGCCACAAACCCAAAAAAGATGTGACATGTATCCTCCACCACCGCCACCACAAAGAGCCCGGAGCTAAATGCATCAAGGAGGTACGCGACCAACACCTCGGCCCCTGGAAAACACCAGTCGATGGTGCCCCGCGACATGTTAGAGCGCACGAGACGTGAGTCAGGCCAAGCGGGGACTCCTTCTCAACCAGAAGTCTTGCTATCCGGGGCGAAGAGATTTTGGGGAGTTTGGGCATCGGCGGTAAGTGCAACGCAGGTCTCGCAGAGCGACAAGCTTTGCGACTGAAACGCTTCCTATACGACAAAGACCGACACAAGTACGTACATTACGAGCATAAGTACGTACATACATACATGCAGACATTTTCAAGATAAACTAGTTGAACCGAAAAGTCTCAAACTCTCCAGGTCCCCAACACCTCCGGCCCCACATTCCCCTGAGGCGCCCTGAAAGCCAACTCCGCAGGCCAAACAGCCCCATCGATTGAAAGGTCTTTAATTCGGGAGTCGGGGCGCTACAACAAGCATCCACAAACAGAAACATAATTGCCAAAATGCGCTCGCCAAAACCCGAACTTCAGAGAAAGCTTACCTACGAGTACCCCGTTGTCCTTGGCAAGATAGGCCCGGCCCGGTGCTCAGGCAAGAAAAGTTTGTGCGTCGAGACCCGATGTCTCCCTTCGGGTCTGCAATTACTATAGGGGCCTAAATAATTACCAATACTATTTTTTGGGGGGTTCCTCATTATATAGTTACAGTTTAATGGGCCCCAAAACCCTATTCCAATCATTAAGGCTCCTATCTATATTAACTTACCGGCCCTTGACTGGGGGCTGCGGGTGTGTGTGGCTTTGGAGCTTCGAGTCCCTGGCCAGATGTCCTGCGTGGCGGGTTCACGGAGGGCTGTCTAGGAATCTATATATATATATATATATATATATATATATGGTTGTTCAGGATTCTTAAAGGCATGCCCCAGACTGATTTCTTGGAAGGTTATGTGAGGGCTGCACCCAGTGGGAGACGGAAAATGCCTCGCCGACATCACAGGAAGGACCGCTGAACCACTCACTGCCCGACAGGACTTTTGCCCTGGTGTTACAGGATTCTGAGACTTGAAACCTCGCAGCTATAAGACCTAGCCCTGTTGAAAGAGTTCTAATATGAGTCCTATGAAGCCCAAAGCGCGACTAGTGATCCTGACACTAAGCTATGCACAAAGTCTCACACACGGCCCGAACCCCCCCCCCCCACCACTTACTGTCTATCACAAGAGATCCAAAGCCCGTGTAGCTATAGGGGTTGTTTGCGGGCTACAAACTTTATAACCTTACAGCACCTACAAATAAATTACTATGTCACCATGCAGAGACTTTGTGTGTGAGGAATCTGCGAACTCACCCCCCGAACCCCGCAGCAGTCAAACACACACCGAGAAGTGGAGGTATAATCACTACATGCGGGCTTCCCGTGAGTATAAGAAATTTGTGTTGGATCTGGGCTCGTTGCTATGATTCTGAAAAGCTTTGACCCTTAGTAAGGCAGGGCTCAGATGCCCCAATATGCCAGCGTAGAGCCTTGTTGCAAGGGAAGCTGGCTGCACGAATTGCACCACAAATCGGATATTGCGGAGAGGAACGCCAACCTCATCCCTCAGGCTCCAGAGGCATATAATGTGAACTTTTGGGACGGAAAACAATCAGATCTCAGGCTCCCTCTCTCTCGGGCACCTGATGGATCTGTGCTCTTTCACACTCACAACCATCTTCAGGATTTGTCCTTGCTCCTTCTCTAGTATCTCTCCCTCTGGCCGGTCTTGTGTTTCGACTTTCGGGTGTGGGTCCATGGAGCAGAGCTTAGAGGGCTAAGGTGTCAGACCAGCTCGATCGCAGAAAATGGCGATCCAGCTAGACTCCTTCGGCAACTGTACAAGGAAAGCGGGAACGTGAGTCGATCAGGCAACTGCGAAGCTTAGCAGCAACAGTCTTCAATGTCCGAAATGGGAAGCATGCCCAAGAATTTGCTACTCATTACGAACCCAAGGAGCCCAATAATGGGAATCCCCTTCAGCCACTGTACAATGTACAACTCCTCGGCCAGGTCGGAAAAAACGATGCTGCTTCAGCAAAACTGACAGCAAACTGTAGCTATGATATCAACCGTCAGAACCTGGTCAACATCATCATCGTCGTCATCACTAATGCTGGGCTTCGCACAAAAGAGTATGATCAGGGTCAACATTTGCAGCTTTGATGCGGTCTGATTCTCGCGCCACAACGACCTTTCCAACATATCACAGGCGCCTTAAAGATTACAATAGGGCCTAGGGCCCATTATACTATAACTATATTAAGGAACTCCCCCAAAATAGTCTAGGTAATTTTTAATGAGGCCCCTATATTAGAGGAAGCTTCTGCCCGCGGGCTGATCGATGGCAGACCGCCGTTCTGCGAAGGCCAAAGCAGCTCGCAGTGGCCTACGAGGCCCTCACGTGGCGTGACGCACCTTCGGAATTCTCTTCGAAGCAAACTTGACTCTGACAATGAGAGAAAGTCCATCACTTCCTTGGAAGTGGTACAGTGCCATCTCGGCGTCCATCTATAAAGTCAGCAGTCACACGACAGATCAGAATCTGCGTCCCATGCCGTGCACAATAGAAACCTCAATCGAGAGCCCCTACAACCCGGGAGATTAAAACCTGTCATACAGGGGCCTTATAAAATCTAACTATCTAATTAGAATAATTAGGGTTTGGGGGGGGGGGGGGTATATTCTACTATATTTATAGTAAGGAGCCCCAGAATAGTAAGGTTATTCATTTCGGCCCCTATATTATATAACTACCAGCCATCAAACCAACATGAACTTAGGAGCCGCGCCTGAAAGCTGCTCCGAACCTCAGCAGTTGTAGAGGAAGTCAAGGACGCGAGGCTTGTAGAGGACCCGGCCTCAGTCATGGAGGTCGGTAGAAGCCCGAAGCACGAGCAGTCGGTAGAGGGTTTAGGATGTAGGACGTAATTACGGGTTTCAAAATGTAGGGCCCTTTTCCTTCTTGCAACAGTCGGAATACCTAGTAGGTAGAGCCGGGTTGAGGACTAAATGTTCAGGCTCTAGGCTTTCAGGGATGGCCCGGGAGTTCTTTGCATTAGTAGCTCCTAGGAAGATGGAGCATCCCCTTGAGGCCATCTGCGCAGGCTACCAGTCGTGCTTCTCTTTTGCACCGTCTGGGATAAGGCATCGACCACGCCATGGGGGTAGGGACACGACAGCAAAAGCTGCGTTCAGGAAGGGCCTTTGTATTTCTGCGTCCGGCCGCAGAAAGCAAGTAACGCAGCACAACAGTCAGAAATGATGTACCCCGAAAGGCCCACACATGTCAGTTCAAATCTAAACCTGCAAACAAAAAACAACAAAAGCGCAGCCGGGGCACAGAATGCCTGAGTGGGTTGTACGCCTTCTTGGCCCGTGAGCATCGAAAAGAAGTCTGCGGCAAAGGTCTGGCAATTGCCTCAGGCGATGCTGATGGAGGATTCAGGATTCGGCGGTTCATCTCACTAGCAATTCTCATGAGATGACCTGGAACATGAATCGGCGCTGCTACAACGAGTGCGAGGAGATTCAACCGACCTGCTGGAAGCATGCTCATTTTCTGGGTCATTCAAGGATTTGAAGGCCACAAGTTGACATGCTAAGGTCTGACAGTGGCATGGGGTGTGTAGCCTACATTGGGAGCTGTAGGCCGCAATGCATTTAGGAACCTTTCCCTAGGATGCGCAGTAACCTAGGAAGAAAAAGGGCTCCCTCTTTGGTATTGGGTAACTTTATAAGGAACCTAGGACTGCAACAAGGGAATAAGGGTACTACTGGGCATCCTAGTTCCAAGGTGGGAACATGTAAGACTAGACAGGCCCAGTCAGTTTTGCTGCCAAGGGTTTCCAGATATCATATGAAGGATCCTATTATAATTTAAGGTATATTCCTTATTTAAGGGATATTGATAAGTCGCTGAGAAAATGCTAGCATCCCGTGATGCTTTGGAATGACTTGGTTTCAACTTCGGGCTCGCAGTCCAGTAGCTCTTTAACCCCACTTGGAGGTTCGTGGGCAGTTATAGGCACAGCTGCTGCAATAGCACTGCGTCACAGACGAGCTGCGGCGGGCTTCCTCGTAGTGTGGGTTGCGAGCGCTGTAGTTGAGCAAGTAGCTCAAGATGTCCTGACTGCAGCTGGCTCTTCCCTAGTGCTGATTGCTTCGGGATCACAGAAAGCCCCTGGGCAGCCGCAGCACCACAAGCATCACCATCCACCGGGCCGCACTTAGATCCAGCAACAGTGTAACCGAACCCCGAACTTCCTTCCATCATTACTTGGATCTTGGCCTTGGTGATTGGCCTCCTCATCGAGTTGTCATCCTCACCGTCATGCTAGCTCTGACCATGAGTGTTCTTATTGTTGATAATATGTTTT